AGGGCCTACGCGAGGCACAACTTACCTCCACCTTACGGGAGTTGTCACCTCCCTTCAGTGGGCGTATCCCCGCCGAGCTACCAGTCCACAGTACGAAAGCTAATCAGTTGCAATCGCAGAGGTGGACCAGCCGAGGGCGTTTCTCGCTCGCTGTAGCATAGGGGGTATGCGCGGTAGTACGCCTATCGGGCCCGCACGCGAACCGGCATCTTCGGGGGGGCTGAAGTCCCAAGCGCGGCTCGACGTCGGTCAACTAGGACGCATCTCACACACCACGCGCACACCACTTTACAAACGCAAAAATAAAACACACATACACACATACGAAATGATACAACACAAACAACGTGACAACGCTCCTAGCCCCTCAGTAGTCAACCCATAACTTTCCAATGCGGGAATCGGACAGGCGTCGCGCGCGAGACTTAGTATAAAACTGCGCGAACGCAAGGACTACTCATATCGACTAGCAATGCAAACGTACGCAAGTAGTCGCAACGATGGCGTACCATGTAGTACCCAAACTCATGCGGTCCTCGTTAATCTCGAGGGTCGCATTCGACACTCAAGTGTCGGCTGACACACGCCTTGAGGGTTAATCTCTTGACGCTGGACAACCGCCAAGCGCGGTTGAAGACCACACACCCTCTTCTGCACTCTGTGCATAGTGGGTGGTACACAGGTCCATACCTGTGGTGGTAGTCGTCTCTCGTGGCCCTAGGGGTAAGTCCTCCCTGGATCTGTGCGAAAGTCAAGGGGTTTGACTTTGACGACTGCCACGGACTACAACGTCCAACCATGAAAATCCCTAAAAAGCAAACGATAAGGATTAGGCCAAAGGTTCCTCCACCTAACAACTAGAATTATGGCCCTGGGGTACCCTCCCTTTTTCGCGCAGTGTTGGCGGCCTCTAGCAATCCCAAACACTCGCCTATATGTGTCGGTCCCTTTGTGATCCCATAACTTTTACACACTAGGGCGGAAAAACGTCGCGCGCGAGGTTTTAATATAAAGCCGCGCAGCCGTGGCCTATCTCATACCAACCAACAATGCCAACCCTACGTGGCAATCGCGGCTCCGGCCTCACGATATTGAATGGCTGAAGGAATATATCGTGAGGGGTCACCCTACACGATATTGAACGGCTGAAGAACATGCCGTTCAGCCCTCGTGGCATTTCCTCCTTCGGGGTGGGGTGTCTCGATGGGCAAGGCAAATAGGCTCTGCGCGAGGGAAAACCCCTCCCCTGCAGAGCCTAGGGTTTGGGATGTCCTGGACAAAAACCTCAAATCCCGGCCCAGGACCAACGTCCGACTAAAAAAAACTCAAGAAGCAAGTAAAAGAAAAGGAAGGGTCTTCCCTGGGGCCTCTCAGTCTTAACCTCTGAGTATGCTCTTCGTACGGGGCCCCTTAACCCATACAAACATTCATCCCAGGTACACCCATGTATACATATATAAAAGGGGGAAGCATGTGACGATCACTTCTCACAGTCTCATTGGGGTCCCTCACAACCATATGTATATATGTGATCGCAGGCAACCAAATCCAGAATCTGATTCATAGCACATACCTGCAAATCACATCAACGAGTCAATCAACAGCCCACGCACTACACGGAGTCAACCCCAACCATCTTCAACACTCATACCCCTCGCTTTAGCCATGCAAGCCCCAACCTTTTGTCCAACCAACCTTAATTAAATACTCAGTACCTTTGTTGAATGGCCATTCAATAAAAGTCCGGGTGAAACCATAATGAAACAAAGAAAATCACCAGGGCTAAGGCCTTTTAGGTTGGGTGTGGAGGGTGAGTTGGAATTGAGTCGTAAACCGACGAATCGGCAACCGACCTGTCATCAGTGATAACAGATGATGATCCTCAAGGGATCGAGCTGAGTCTAGTCCTGAACTTGAATCAGACGATAAAGAGGACCTGTAACACATGACAGGTCAATGTCCCAGGCTAAACCTATAAGTTCATGGAGAACAATCTCCATATCGTGACCTTACTCAAAATATCTTGGTTAACTACGTCTAAGCCTACCTCTAAGCAATATGGCAAAATCTTCCCTTAGTCAGAGTGGACTTATCAAAGAGCTCCACCTGTCAAAACATAATCAATCTCTATTAAACTAAGAAAATTTCGGCAGCGCTTCCTGTAGGAAAAATGTCTTTCCAGAATTTACATAAGTCCAGATATAAAAACATAAATAATTACTAACTCTTAGAAAGTCAAAATTATGTCTAACTCCCTGAAATAGTAGAAATTTTGGCAGCATTCCCTTTAGAAAAGGAGGTTTTCTATATTTATACTAAGTCAGATATAAACAGCAGGAATAATTCTTAACTCTGGAAAGTTAAACTTATGTCTAACTCCCTGAAACAGTAGAAGTTTGTGCAGCACTCCCTTTAGAAAGGGAGACTTTCCAAATTTACACTAAGTCAGATATGAACTCGAAAGACAGCTCGAGTTCAACTTTAGACAGAATTTAATTAACTCTTTAATTTTGTAGAAATTTCGGCAGCACTCCCTCTAAAAAAGTGTTATGCCAAAATTCATACAAAGCTAAGTTCAGAATTTAAGAGCAACCTTGACTTCCCAAAGTTCAATTTTGTCTAACTCCCCGAATTAGCAAAAAATTGGGCAGCACCCCTTTTAGAAAAGGAGACTTCCCAGATTTTAACTAAGTCAGATATGAGGAAAGACAAAACTGAACTTTTGATAAGTCAAAATTTAACTAACTCCTTGGATTTGTAGAAATTTCGGCAGCGCTTCTCGTAGAGAAAGTAGCTTGCCAAGATTTATACAAACCCAAGTATAAGAAAAAATCTCAGAAAATGCAGGAATTGACCTAAGTAAAAGAAAAATACTACAGAAAATGCAGGAATTGACACTAACTCATATGGCTCTAGCACGTGGCGAGCAACTAAAGCAACTACCTATCAACCTGAAACTCAGACTAAGTAGTGGCCTCACTCAGTCACATGCAAACCAAACCACAAAGGTAAGTAGTCTCACCAGCCCCAAGTCAACCTGAACAAACAATAGTTCATGATCTCTTAATGATTTAACCCATTATACCTAGCTTACATAAGACATATGGCAGGCCGCCTGAACTTACAGAACAACTCAACTTAGCCAGGCCTAGAGTCAGAATACCTAAACTTATAGAGCGTTCTGACTTGGCCAAATATACACAAACAGAGGGCACAACTACTTTTCTCTTCTTTTGGCACATGACTAGACCACTCTAGTGACCTTGAACTGTTTAAAGTATCCAAGTTGTATATACTTATCTTCACCTTTGTCTTCTAAGGCTGCATATGACTGAACTAACTTAAGTTCAGTCTGGCCCAGTTTACCACCAGTTTTATTCTTAGTTATACTCTCTTCAAGTTGTGATACGGCTATAGTCAGACCACCTAAACTTATAGAACAGTCTGATTAGCTCGTTCCTAGATAAAATAGTTGTAAAGTATAACCAAGTTACAACCATTGGGTTCCAGCATGTGCGAGGCTTTGAGCCAGACCCCCTGAACTTACAGAAGGGTCCAACTCTCGGCAAGATCCGTTTCTATCTGAGCCATTATGTGTGTGGCATTGAGTCAAACCCCTTGAACTTACAGAAAGGTCTGTCTCTTTGCCAAGATTATTTCTTTAGAATAAAGAGCAGGAAGAGACAGGGTCACCTGAACTTACAGGACAGCTCGGTCTCCTCGTTCAGAAACCAAAGAAACAGGTAAAATCCCAATGAAAACAAGGCAACCCAAGGCACCAAAACTTATTGAGCGCCCTGAGTCCCTGAAAATCAGGCACAATCAAACCCCTCACAGGTCAGAGCAATCAGGCCACCTGAACTTACAGAACAGCCTGACCCTCCATGCAAACCATATCACTGGGTCTCCCCAAACTTATGGGGAGATCCCAGCCTTCAGAGTAACCAGACCCCCTAAACTTATAGAAGAGTCTGACTTCTCCATGCAAAACTAAAATAAAACAAAGCACTGGGGCTCCTCAAACTTGTGGGGACTCCCCAGCCTTAACAGCCCGTCAACCATCATGCAAATCAAACCCCCATCCTGCCTTTACCCCAGATGCAGTTCCTTTTAACAGTCTGAGTTCATACAAACAACAAAGTTGAAACTGAGACTTCACAAACATTCCTTTACTTCATCTGGTTTAATCTCTTGAAGTCAAACCAAAAATAAGATAGGGTTGCACACCATATATTCAGTCAGAGATGCATCAGGTATTACAAATAGGGGCTATAGGGTGGGTGTATAGAGGGAAACGCAAAGGTTACCTGTCAATTCCCTGCCTCCAGAGCCTCGCCTAGACTCCGGCAGAGCTCCCGCAATCGGTGGGTGGACTCCCCACAGAGTCTCGATGCGGTCCTACGACTTGCAATCCCGCATGCCGCCTTCCCCTCAGA